TACTGAACAGTTGAGTTTTATGACATTTTTCTAAAAATAGGGAAATATTTCACAAAATCTTCTAATTTTGTCCAAGTTTTTCTAGAAAGTCAATCAATTAGTGATAGATTTCACAAAATCTCTATAAAAAGTAGAAATATCTAGCAAATTTGTGAAAGTCGACTGAATAGTGAAATATTTCACAAAAGTACAAATATTTTGCAAATTTCTAAAAAGTTAACGAATTGCGACATATTTCACAAAATCTTGCAATTTAATGAACAGTTGATTTTCTAGAAACAGTCTTACAATCAGTTACCAGTTTAACAAAAAAGTCAAAGATTTCATAAAATCTATATAAAAAGTAGAAATATCTTGCAAATTTCTAAAATGCCAACTGAATAGTAAAATATTTCACAAAGTATTGTAATTTGCTGAGCAGATGATTTTTATGACAGTTTTCTAAAAATTCAGCTGAATATTGAAATATTTCACAAAATCTTCTAATGTTTGTCAAAGATTTTTTCTAGAAAGTCAACCAGATAGTGAGATATTTCACAAAATTTGGCAATTTACAGGGCAGTTGATTTTCTAGAAACAGTCTTACAATCAGTTACAAATTTAACATAAAATTCAAAGATTTCACAAAATCTCTATAAAAAGCAGAATATATTGCAAATTTATAAAAAGTCAACTGCTAGTAAAATATTTCACAAAATCTTCTATTTTGTCAACGATTTTATCTTTAAAGTGAACCAAATAGTGAAATATTTCATAAAATCTTGCAGTTTAATGAAGAGTTGATTTTCTAGAAACAGTCTTACAATCAGTTACCAATTTAACAAAAAATTCGAAGGTTTCACAAAATCTATATAAAAAGTAGAAATATTTTGCAAATTTATAAACAAGTGAACTACATAGTGAAATATTTCACAAAATCTTCTAATTTGTCAACGATTTTTTTCTAGAAAGTCAACCAAATTGTGAAATATTTCACAAAATCTTGCAATTTACTGAAGTCAACTAAATAGAGACTTATTTCATTTATTTTACAAAATTTCAATATTTTCACAAAAATATTTCACAAAATCTTGCAATTTACTGAAGTCAACTAAATAGAGACTTATATCATTTCTTTTATAAAGTCACCCAAATAGTGAAATATTTCACAAAATCTTGCAAATTTATGGAACAGTCTAGAAACAGTCTTACATTCGGTTAGAAATTAAAAAAATTTAAAGATTTCTAAAAATCTCTATAGAAAGTAGAAATATCTTGCAAATTTCTAAAAAGTCAACTGAATAGTCATATATTTCACAAAAGTAGAAATATCTTGAAAATATCGATAAAGTCAACTGAATAATGAAATCTTGTAATTTACTGAACAGTTCTAAAAAGTCAACTGAGTAGTGAAATATTTCACAAAATCTTCTAATTTTGTCCAAGTTTTTCTAGAAAGTCAACCAAATAGTGCACAGTGGGGCAGAATCGAAATTTTTTGGAAATAAATCTCGCATTTCTAAACGGCTCCGATCCGATCGGGATAAAATTTGGCGTGTGCGTAGCCAAGGAGTATTCGAGTTTAAGTTTTGAAGATGAACCCTGCAGATGCCCCAGGGACGGCGCTGTGGCGGCTCAAAGTAGGGTACCTACGACATGTAAAATTTTTAAACTCGTGCCATTTTTTGGTTTTTCACCCAAATACAAAGATTTTTATATTTTCTGAAAGCGCTCGACGACATACGGACATACTACTTATCTCTTATAATATTCGAGCTATAGGTATTTAAAAATTTAGTGATACAAAATTTACCATACCTTGGTCCGACTTTTTTTGAATACCGGGCGTAATTTTGGACCAAATGGACTCAATTTTTTCTTGTTAGTTAGACAACAAAATTTCCAATAATATACAAAAAATGTCAGATCAATATCATTTACAGATCCAAAAATATACGTTTTTAATTTAAAAATTCAAAAAATTTTAGTTTTTTGCCAAAAATGTGTCTTAACTCTGGTTGGTTGGTTGGTTTACGTGGTAGTTCACTACACGCGAACTGTCAAGTAGAATCAAAGAGACTCCGTTTTGACCGGACCACTCCACTCGTCAGATGTTGAATTTGTAGTATTAGATCCAGCCCGTAGCTATGAGAAATCTGAGGATATCATTGAGCCTAAAGACAGATATCTCGCCAAGGTTAGATATGAAGTAATTGCCAAGGAAGCGGTTTCTCTTTACGGCCAGAGCAGGGCATTCACAGAGGAGATGGAAGACCGTTTCTTCCTTTTCCCTGTCTTTGCAACTGCGACAGTGATCATTGAAAGGGAGCCCAAGCCGACTTGCGTGTCTGCCTATTACCCAGTGTCCTGTTATTACTGCTATCAGCCTCGATATGTCCCGCCTACTTCGGTTTATAAGGTGTCTTGTGCGTTTCTCATTGAAGGAGGGCCACAATAGCTTGGCGCCTTTACATGTGTCTAGGTTATTCCACCTATTTTCAGCTTTTCGAAGAAAGAATCTGAGGATATTGCTCTTGATATAACTTAACGGAGTTGCTACTGGAACGGCGTCGGAGATATCAAGAGCAGATCCCGTTCTTGCAAGCTCATCTGCCTGTTCATTACCGTAGTAGTCCCTATGCGCAGGGACCCAAACAAGGGTAATGTCAGACAGCCGACCCAGCATTGACAGATCCTTCTTGCATTGTCTAACTAATAAGGAAGTAGTAGTATAAGAGTTTAGTGAGAGAAGTGCCGCTTGACTATCGACAAAGATTCCTATGTTGCCGCGAATATTGAGGTCATGTAATACCCTACAGGCTGACATTATCGCAAAAATTTCAGCCTGAAAGACACTACAGTTGTTGGGAACACGGTGGGATATACTTACCCCAGCTTCTTCACAGAAGACACCAGAACCAACGCCGCAGTTCATTTTAGAACCATCTGTAAAGATTCTGGTGGTATATTCGCTTGGTAGATTACCTCCACACCACTCGCTCCTGGAAGGAACTCTGACTTTGAAGACTCTATCAAAGTCCATGTGTGGGGTAATAGGAGGTAACAAGCTTAAAATCTTAGCGTGTCCATATGTTCTTGATCTCCAACTTCCGGATGAGTTAAGCCTTAACGCGCTACAAGCAGATATGGTCATTATGTGCAGATCTATGGGTAGGATGTGCAATATAGTGTTCAGAGCTTCTGAAGGACTAGTTCTTATAGCACCTGTTATCCCAATGCATGCTGATCTCTGAACTTTGTATAGTTGATCCACAACAAACTTCTTCTTAGTTGAAGTCCACCATACAAGAGATCCGTATGTAAGAATAGGACGTACTATAGCTGTGTACATCCATTTAACTATGTTGGGACTAAGTCCCCATTTCATTCCAAACATCTTACGACAGGTATAGTAGGCGACCGTTGCCTTCTTGACTCTGTGCTGGATGTTGAGTTTCCATGATAATTTGGAGTCTAGAATAGTTCCTAGATATTTGGCATTGTTTGATAAGGGGATTTCGCGGTTTTTTAACCGTGGCAGGTTGAAGCTTGGAATCTTGGTCTTTGGTGTGAATAGTACCAGTTCTGTCTTGCTTGGATTTATTCCTAGACCACTGTCTGTGGCCCAGTTACTGAGTAGCACCAGAGCACCAGACATAATATCGCTAATCACGTCTGGGAACATTCCTGATACCAGTATCACAACGTCGTCCGCATAGGCAACGACCTTTATCCCTCTGTTGTCCAGTTCCTTAAGAATCGTATTAACAACGATAAGCCAAAGTAGTGGAGAGATTACACCGCCCTGAGGTGTGCCTCGTTAGTGTATTGTTTGAATTCGAGGGATCTTTCTATAACTCTTACAACCTCATGTAGAGCTGTCTCAGTAGATCGTCCTTTAAGGTAGGCATGTTGACTGGTTGAAAGCCGTGATGAGCTCTCTAGCCGTTGCCTAATATGTGAGTCGATGAGTCTTTCCAGCGTTTTGAGTTGAAAAGATGAAAGACTAATTGGACGAAAGTCCTTCGCATTTTCATGACTCCTTTTGCCAGCTTTGGGAATAAAAACGACCTTAACCTTTCTCCAGTTTACCGGAACATGGTTGAGAGAGAGGCTGAGCGTGTATATTCTATGAAGCCAGGGGATGATATATTCTTTTGCACTTTGTAACATCTTTGGCAAAATGCCATCAGGCCCTGGTGATTTGAAAGGGGAAAAACTATCAATCGCCCATGAGATTCTATCATAAGAGATGATATTTTTATTGATTCCCGTTAGAGTCCTACTGTCAGTGAAGATTTCCTTGACAGCATCTTTGCAGCCAGGGAAGTGAGTATTCAGTAGGATGTCAAGAGATTCTGCCGAGGATTCTGACCAAGTGTCGTCCTTCCTCTTAATATAGGTTGGATTAGATTGGCCTTTAGCAAGAATTTTGCTAAGTCTAGCAGAATCCTTTGTGTTATCTATAGATTCGCAGAAACTTCTCCATGAGGTTCTTTTTGCGAGTGCTATAGCTTTCTTATAAACTTTTAGTTTGTCGCGGTATGGCTGCCACGATTTATTGTTGTAGCATGTGTTAAAGGCCCTACGTGTTTCCTTACGTAGCTTAGATAGCTCCGAATTCCACCATGGAGGGAAGCTTTTCTTTGCCTTTGTGATTGGGCAGGAGACTTCGAAAGCCTTACCTAAGACTTTGCTAAAGTTTTCTTCTATCTTTTCAAGCCCAGTGATTGAATCATCAACCACTGGAATTTTCTTGAGCTTATGTCTAAGGATCCCTTTATACTTGAACCAATCGGTTCTTCTTGGGTTCCTATAGACCATTTTTTCCGTCGAGTTTTGTAGTATAATATCGAAGAGGATCCAATTGTGATCTGAAAAAGATTTTTCATTGGATACCCTCCACCTATCAACTGATATTTTAGATCTGTCGCTAATGAGTGTAATGTCCAGTACTTCCTCCCACCCATTATAATTATCCGCACTTGGAAAAATGGATGTAGGTTTGTTGCCAGAGTTACATATGTTTAGGTTGTTAGTATTAATGAAATTAAAGATTGACTCACCCCTTTCATTAGTTTCGCTGCTACCCCAGATTGTATGCCTTGCATTGGCATCACAGCCTAGGATTATGTCGTCAGATGTCTCAATTACGGCCAGGAGATCGCTCACTTCGTCTGGTGGTGCTGTCTTCTCGTGTGCCATATAGCTTGAGGCAATCATGAAGCTTCTGTTGTGCGGTAGCTCGACCTTTGCGACTGTTAGGTCTTCTGAGCTAAGCTGTGTACAAAGAAAAATGTTAATCGATTTTTTAGCAATTAGACATGATCGTGGCCTACCATTACTTCTTGCATATAGTATGTTGTATGTAGATGCTGGGAACCCTTTAACTTCTGAGTCCGTGACCCAGGGTTCTTGAACCAGGCAAATGTCCAGGTTTTCCTCGGCTAGGAGAACCCGTAGATTGTCTGAAGCACACTTTGAGTGCTTCAGATTAATTTGCACTATCTTCAGTGCCATTGTCAGGTTTATCAGGTGGCTCGGAGAGTTTCATGCCAGTGAGCAGAGAGTTGGCAGCTTCCATCTCATCCGTCTCTTCACTCCCCGATTTTGTCGGCCGGAACACCTTTACTTTGGCGCCCCTCACCCCAAAGAACAGCCTAAAGCCCACCTTCTCCAGCTCAACGGAGCCAGCTTCTGTGATGGCGAGAATTAGACATGTGTGCCCTTCGCCTTGTTCTGTGCGGATGATAGCCCAGTCATTCATGTGTATGTTGGGATTCTGCCGTTTGAGGCATTCCAACATCTTGGGTGCTTCGGCGCTCATCTTTGGTAACCAAACTCTTGCACGAGGTCTCATTGGAATTTCCTCAGCAGGGATTAGTTTAAGGCTTAAACCTACCCATACATCTCTAATCTTAGTGATGCACTTGCTGAGGAACTCCTTTGAGAATTCGTCCAGGCATTTGATCACCCTGTATCCCCGGTGAATCTCACTGGAGTCAAAACGGGGTACCTTGTCGTCTTTGTTAGTGAGCAAGTGTTCCATAATGAGCTCAGTTAATTTAGACTCAATGGCACCCCATTCTGTTACTACAGGGTTGATGGCCCCGTCTTTTTCAGTAACCAGAGCCATTAGGAGGTGGTCCTTCACCACTTCGTTAAATGGTCTTCTGGCAGTTGTCGTGGTGGCTACAAGTCCCGGAGTGGTTTTGCCTTCTATTACCTTCCTCCTTTTCGGCGATTTATTATCCTCAACCTGTGAGCGGTTTCGCTTGGACCTTTCGATTTCAGCAGCCATTTTGGATGTGCTGGGTGCGGTCTCCAAAGACTTTTGGTACTCATCCACCACAGCTTGATATTTGACGCGATCATCTTCATCGCGTTCATGAGGAGTACCATTAGCAGCATTCTTGGCAATCTTGTCGAGAATGAAAACAGCCTTGGTATATCTAGCTTTGAGGATGTCTTTCTGACTTTTCCTTTTTGGCCTTTTTTTCCTCGAATTGTCGCCAGCCTTGGCGTCAGATTGAGGAGTATTTGTCGGGCTTTTTGAGGGTAGGAGAGTGCTATGTCTTTCATTCCCACTACCTGAAGGACTCACTACCGTCTCTTGACTAGAGGCGAGAAGTTCGTCTTCGGATGAGGATCCAATCTCATCCTTTCTTCGTTGTTTTTGTTTTTTTTTCTGTATTTGTTTCCATATGTTGGTCCCACGAGTAGGCACGTAAGGGAAGAGACGGTCCATGCAGTGACGGCGTACATGGACTAGACTAGGATTTACAACCGGCCCGTGTCGTGGCACCGGAGGGGAGCTGTTAGCGACTAATCTTCTTTAACCACTGATTAGCCATTCAGATTCTCGGCACTGCTACCAACCACCTTAACCTTACAAGTGGGGGATGGGGAGGAGACGGGATTGTTTATAGGAAAAATTGGGAATTGAGGATAGGAGGGATAACCTTTGGTCATGAAGGCTTTTGAGTTCAGTGTCTTCCAAATACAAAGGGCTTATGCCGAGTGTATTTGCAATGCAAAAGAACAACAGCCAACACTAAAGCCACCACATCGCGGCAAGATTGTTATCCAGGTGGTGGGTCTTAACTCTTCTATTAATAAATTGAAACATATAACAATTTTATAGTTTTCTAAAAGGTATCTTTACGCAGAACGCTATGGCGTAAAAAACTTGTCCTATTTTTTGAAAATGTTGACACTGCGTCCTTCCGAATATGACCTATTTTTTATCAAAACTTCAACTTTGGGCGACATGTTCTAAAATCCCAAAGCTGGGATCAGAAAACTGAAAGCAGTTTTGGAAACCTCAATATGTTTTCTATTTACTCCAAAAGTATTTTCCCAGATCTGAAAGAAATGTGGACCCTATGAGCAAAAAAGTAAAAAATCCAATTTTTGGGATTTTCATTCCTATTTTTGGGAATTGCGGGATGCTCTTTGACCTTTTCAATTTTTTTTTTGCATTTTATATATATTACATATTTGTTTAATTTCTAAAACTATGATTTATATCAAAATTTTAATAGGGTCGCAGATAGCTACAACAATTTAGTCCATATTTACCCTTTAATATCATTTTTTTGTTAGATATGGAAATTCTCGACCCTTTACAAAAAATTTCAAGCCAATATCTCAATTACATTCAAAAATATGTTCATTTAAACCTGTGTCCTTTAATTTAATATTTTTCATATTTTAGTATTAAGTATGACAGAACATACATTTGGTGTTGAATAAAATATTTGGACAATTTTTAAAAATTATTTAGTTAATTATTTTATTAAAGACTATAACATTGTATATACAATAAAAAAATTATAATTTTATTATGAGCCACGCACAACAACACCTAAATCACCCCACACAAACCACCTTTCCCGCCCACCGAAATATAAAACACAATTTGATATTTGAACTGTTTATTTTAAACATAATACAATTAATTCTTACAACCTACTTATATAGTTAATTCCTTACACTCTATAAAATAATCTGTCATATCGGTATACATATCCAGAAGGTAATATAAGTCCTTTAAATCTTCCTTGTTTTGAGATGATAGAGTTTCATAACAAATCCATCTTTTTCGCATAGTTGAAAGAACAGGATCAGAAGATAGAAGTAAACTATTAAAAATATCTTCATTCTGTGATTGCCTGTAGCATTTTCTTGAGCTGAATAGTTGAACATGCTTAAAATCTCGATTCCTCGCTTCTTCTGTTAACTCTCCAAGTGGAAGAATATTCGATTCAATTATTATTTGACCATGACACAATACTTTGTGTACTGTTGGTGTTAGTTCCCTCCATGGATACAGAGATACCAGTAATTTCGAAATTTCAGATATATATTCCCCAAATCGATTTCCATTAATTTTATGTTTACTATTCAGTGCCATTAAAATAGTGTTAACTCTTCGAAGCAACTCCTTGTCGATTCCAGTTATTTTTGAAGTAATTTCAAAATCACGAAAAAACATTCTCGCCGTATTACCATCATTTGTACTACCGCAACTTGGAAGTGGTTTGTCGATGTTTAATCCCATCTCCAGAAGGAAGAAGTTTCTGTTATGGCATTGCTGACCTTTCCATCAATCATTGTTAAGCTTAGCTGATATGATACGTTAATAGAGAATTCCTTTATTTTTATGCAAATGGGCTTCAGTGCATTTATTTCATCTTTTAAATATTCCACTAAATCTTTTGTTGTTTTCTTTGACTCCTTTATATATTCAAATCCAATGGGTCTACAAAAATTTTTTGAACCCGGAGTTGTATTGATCCATATATCTTCAAATTAATTTCCGATGCTTGAGGATGATGGATTAAGGGAATATGAACGAATTCGTAATGGCACTAATGATGACATAAATACACTTTTGTAGTCTGCTATACTTACCACGATTCGCTTAAGTCGTTTTGGTGATGCATTAGGAAGAATAGTTGCAATATATACGGCATCCATAGGTTGGTTTTCCTTTTTCAGCATTTCGTTAAATGTATCAACAATTTCCTCATTTGAGATTGAAAAAAGTTTTTGTGTGACCCTCTTTTTTTGACCTTGAACATAAGTCTTCGTATAACTTGCAAGGCGCTCCTGTTGATGTGTTGTAAGTTGAGATTTCCGTGGTAGTTTCCATCCAACTACAAAATTTTAATCGAAATTTCTTTTGATTTCCATCCACAGACTTATTTTTTACATCAAAAAGTTTTCAATTTTTGATATGCTTGTTTTGTCTACTTTTCTACTATATGTAGTTTTTATATAATTTGAAATGTCTTCAATTCTTTCTGGCCCTTTTGAAGATACACTCCATAAAACGGAACACAACTCTTCGTACTTTAATGTAATCTTCATTGTAGATTTATTAAATATGGTACTTAAAATCTAAGAAGTTTACTTATATACTAGAGCCCTGCATGAGTGACTTAAATAATATTTTAAAACATTTAATTTTTTGAAAGTACTGTTTTTGACTCACTCATTGTTTTTTGAATGAATATAATAATTTATTCAAAACAAAAATGTATACGACAAAAAATTCAAATAAAGTAAAATACATGAATGTAAAGAGTATTGTATGATATGAGTATTGAGAGTGTTTTTGTGTTTCAAATCGAGTGCAAAACAGCGAGTGAATCGAATTATAGAAGGATTTATTATGTGTTTTAATTAGAATGCAATTCTTTGAACGAATTACCGTTCTTATGAATTTCTATAGCGAGATTACAAATAAAATGCATTATTGTTATGTATATATGTATATTTTATTAATTTAACTCATGTAATAATTATATTTGAATGTTATTTAGAGATGTAAACAAAACTACTGTAAAGTGAAAAAATATGAAATATAAGGATTTTTATAATTATATATTAGCACTGAGAGCACCTTCTTCTTGTGGAACAGCGTATTTTTTGTGATTCATGTGTAAGAAAATAATTTGATTTACAGCAATATCATTTGAGGCAATGGAGCATCTTTTTTCAGAAATTACGTTGCGGGCACAAGAGAAAACCCGTTCTGAAGGTGCGCTACTTGCTGGTATTGCTAAGATTCGGCAGCTTAATTTGTGTAAAAAGGGGAACTCATTCTTATGCGAATCCCACCACTTAAGTGTGTCGAAATCATCAAAAAATGACACTTCTGTGTTTTCGTATCGTCTCAACTCTGAGGCCACTAAATCCTCGTTGGTTTGAAAATCAGATGATCGAATAAAATCTGAAAACAGCTCTAAATTTTTCGATGAGATTGAGGCTACTGACAGTTGTTGTGGTTCTGTTATAGGCTCACAATTCTGTACTAGGCTTTGTATCAACTCGATACATTTTAATTTAATAAGATTTCGATCTTCTTCAGAAAAACTTAGCAATTTGTTTGCAGGGGGGAACAGGAATAGAGCAACTCGATGCCAGATGGACAAATTAGAAAAAACTACAGTATCCAAGTAGTGCCTAAGCTTGCTTTTCAAAGCCTGGGCAATACTTATATCCTCGTTGTTTTCAGCGCATTTCTTTTGAAATGCCTTTCATGCCTTTCTTGTAATATGAAAACAACTTCGTCCCAGCTGCTTTTTAATGACGACAACAGATAATAGAAAGTATTCCATCTTGATGGACAAAAGCTTTTTAAGGACTTTCTTATATTTGAATTTATCCCAGACTTTTTAAAGTACCCCACTATATTGGTGGCTACATCGCAAATAAATTTTACATCTGGGACTGCATCTATGGATTTCTGAATAACATTATTCAGTAGATGGTTAATACAATATATATGGGCAGTGCTGCGGAAAGCAGCAACCAATTCGCTAAGTATGTTACAAACTTTGCAGTATATGTTATCACCTAAAGGATTTCAGAATAATTAATAAGAAATCAGTGGCCATTAAAACTTTATAATGGTATATACAACTTACTAGTACATTTTTCGCCATTCATGCTGCGTATTCCCAACAAAACGTTATTCAATTGTGTATCTTTTATATAATGCATTGTTATTGCCAAAAATGATTTGTGTAAATAGCTGTCCGTCCACAAATCGGTGGTTAGAGCGAACCCAATGTCCTTTACTTTAGTGATGTCGGATTTTATCTCAGAAAATGCTACATCGTAAAGCTTACAAACATTTCTTCCTACTGTTGTTGAGTGTGGAAGTAATGATTTTACATCGACGTGCTTACCATATTTTGAGCCGATGGACAAAACGAAGCTAACAAGTTCATGAAGACCGGAATCTTCCACCAATGTAAAAGGTCTGCAGTTTTCAATAATCCATTTGGTAAATATATACAATGCTTTCCTTTTTGTGTCACTATCCACTAAAACGTTGTATACGTTATCCCGATCTTTTGTGGCGATGTAGCATTTATGTCTTACCAAGTTTGTAGTAGATTTACTGTTATGTTTATACACGCTAAAGCAAAATCGACACGCGACTACATTTAACAATTCTTCACCTGTGTCGTTTATAATCATTTTCCATACATTACTACGTCCCGTTTTATTGCTTAATTTATATTCTTGGTTAATTATTTTTGTTTTTATTATATCATGGCTTAACAAGCTAGTTCCACTGGAAACGGATGCTGTGCTATCAACGGCGTCGCTAGAATTCTGTTCCAATTTACAATAAAATATAATATAAATTAAAAAATTATCATACGGTTTAGTATTTATTAATTAGATATACCTCATTGTTTTCATTTTTAAATTAATTTGCGATATCAT